GACTTTAAAGAAGCCATCATTAAAATACTTTAACAAATAATTATGAATTCTCTTGAAATAAATGAAAACAATAAACCTCAGAAAAGAAACTAATATCAAGTAAGTAGACTGAATAAGTAATAAAGTCTTTCCATCAAAGAAAATCTCAGAACCTGATGGTTTCACTGCTGAATTTTATCAAACACTTAAAGAACTAATTCCAATGCTTCTCAATCTCTTTCAAAACACTGAAGAGAAAGGAATTTGTCTAAAGTATTTTTTACAAGGACAGCATTATTACCCTGATACTAAAAACAGACAAGAACACTGCAAGAAAAGTACAGGCCAATATCCATGGTGAGTATACTTGCAAAAATCCTCAACAAAATACTTAGCAGAAAAAAAAGGGTCATTCATCATCAGGCAGGATTTTCCCCTGGGAGGAAAGGATGCATCATTCAAGGACTCAAATCAGTACATGTGATATACCACATTAACAGAATAAAAAAAAAGTATATGAACATGATCATATCAATAGATTCAGGAAAAGCCTTTGACAAAATTCAACATCTCTTCCTGATTAAAAAAAAAAAAACTCAATGAACTAGGTACAGAGGAATGTACCTCACCACAATAAAGACCATATATGAGAAAACCACAGCTAACATCATTCTCAGTGGTGAAAAGTCCAATGCTCTTCCTCTAAGATTAGGAACAATACAAAAATGTCCTCTTTCACCACTTCTATTCAACATGGTACTAGATGCCCTAGTCAGGGCAATTAGGCAAAAGTAACAAATTAAATGCATCCATGTTCAAAAGGAAGAAGTTAAATCTTCTCTGCTTGTAGGTGATATGATCTTACACATAGAAAACCCAAAGGTGTCACCAAAAAAGTTAGAATTAATAAACAAATTTAGTAAATCTACAGATACAAAATCAACATACAAAAATCAATAGTGTTTCCATACAATGACAATGAGCTATCTGAATGAAAAACCTTTAAATCCCACTTATAATAGCTACAAAAAATTAACTACAAAGAAACACATCCAGTCAAGGAAGTGAAAGATATCTACACAGAAAAATATCCATTAATTAACATGATTAAAATAGCCATACTACCCCAATCAATCAATATATTCAATGAAATCCCAAACACATTCCAATGACGGTTTTTATAGAAATAGAAAAAAAATCCTAAAATTGATAGGAAACCATAAATCTTGAACAAAAAGAACAAAGCTGAAGATAGCATGCTACCTGATTCAAAATTATACTATAAAATTATATTAATCCAATTAACATGATACTGGCATAAAAACAAATACATAGACCAAAGGGACCACATACCTGATAGGGGATTGATTTCCAAAAAAATAAGGAACTACAATTAAATAGCAATAAATCAAATTACCCAATTGACAAATGGGAAAAGAACTTAAACAAACTTTTCTTCAATAAAGACAAATAAATGAACAAGCATAAGAAAAAAATATTTATTATCACTAATTATTAAGGAAATGCAAATCAAAACAACAGTGAGATATCACCTCATACTTATTAGGAGAACTACTATCTGAAAAATAAAAGATAAAAAATATTGGTGAGAATGAGAAAAATTGGAACTTGTACACCATTGATGGGAATGTAAAATGATAAAGCAGCTGTGGAAAATAGCAAGGAGGTTCCTCAAAAAAAAATTAAAACAAAACTACCATATGTTCTATAAATCCCACTGCTGAGTATATATACAAAGTAATTAAAATAACAATTGAAGACAGATCTGCATGTTCATTGCAGCATTAGTCACCATAGCTATGATTAGGAAAATAACTCAAGTGCCTGGAATAGAGACATGGCAAAATAAAATGTGGTATATAAATGCAATGGAATACTATTCTGCCTTTTAAAAGAAGAAAAACATTCCATTTCCAACAGCATGGATGAACCTGAGGACAATATGCTAAGTGAAATAAAGCACTCATAAAGGGCAAATTCTTCATGATTTCATTTATATGAGTAATTAAAATGGTCATATTCAAAGAAGTAGAAAATATAATAATGGTTGTAAGGGATTTAGAGAAGAGGAGAAAAGGGAATTTTTTTCAGTAGGTATCAATTTTAATTTATGTTAGATGAATAAGTTCTAGACATCAACTATACAAATTAATACCTATAGTTGTCAATGCAGCATTGTAAGTTTCAAATTTTGTTAAGAATATTCGTACAACAAAAATAAAACAAAGAAACACAAGAAAAATATGAGAGGCACTGGATACTTTCTTAACACCTCAGTTGTGGTGATGTATCATGAGTGTTTGCATATGTCCAAATTCAGAAAATTGAACCAATTAAACATGTGCAGATCTTTGTGATAAACAGTCATATCTCAGTAAAACTGCTTTTTAAAAAGAAAATTTAAAATAATTTAAAATTTAAAAAGAAATTAATTATGGAGGGTGCATGAGGGCAGGAAAGATGGTAGAATGAGATGGACATCATTACCCTACATACATGTATGACTGCACATATTGTGTGACACTACATTGTGTATAACCATAGAAATGTAAAGTTGTGCTGCAATTGTGTACAGTGAATCAAAATGCATTCTGCTGTCATATACACCTAATTAAAATGAATCCATTAATTTAAAAAAATTAAATAAATAATTATACATATATATATATATATATATATATATATATATATATATATATCTCGATATGGGCTGTGGTTGTAACTCAGTGATAGAGCACTTGTGTAACATATGAGTTGCATTTGAGCCCCATCACTTCATAAAAATAAATTAAGTAAAGGTATTATGTCCATCTACAATAAAAAATAATAATAATAAAAAGAAATTAATGAAAACTAAATAAATGGGCAGTCATTCCATGTTCATGAGTTAGAAGACATAATACTGTTAAACTGGCAATAGTCCTTAATTTGATCTAAATATGCAAAGCAATTCCTATCAGAATCCCAGAAGACTTTTCTGCTTCAGTTGGAAAGCTGATCCTAAAATTCATATGGAAATAATATGGAACCAGAATAACCCCCAAAAAAATCCTTTTAAAAGAAGAATAATATTGGATAACTCATTTCTTCTGAATTTCAGAACGTATTACAAAGCTAAAGTAATTTTCATGATTAATCTGGACTATCAACCTGATTGGATTAAAAATTCCTAAAATTAAAGGACTTCTGGGTGTGTCAATGAGGATGTTTCCAGAAATGATTGTAATGGAAGACAACAAATTGAGGGGGAGGGGGACACCACCTACTGAGAATGTGCCAGAAATAGTCTGAGAGACTGAGGACTCCATTTTTGAGAAACCAGCATCTACCTCAAGGCCTGTCCAGAGGGAGGGGGCATAACCCCTGTCCTTGGAAAAACCCACAGAGCGCTGCTAGGCACATAGCCACCCTGCTGAGTTGTTTTTAAATAACAGGAGAGATCTGTGGTGCCAGGTGTCCCTGACTCAGTTACTCTAGGTGAGGACCCATAGCAACCCCCTAGCACCACCAATCAGCATGAGACAGGGAAAATATCTGAAATGCCAGGTGACTCTCCCAGTAGTTTTAGTGATTGATATCATGTTAGGAAGCCATGTAGTTTAGCAGTATAGCCCTCACAGCCTAAACCAATCAGTTCAAATGAATCCAACACTTGAACTACCCAATCATCCTTACCTGACTTGTTCCCGCCAATGAATGTGCTAATCAATGTTAAGAGTTGTTGTTTGACTTTCCCGCTGTGTGAAATGATTTGCTGTGTGATGTGTGATGCATAGAGTATCCCCAAAAAACCTATAAATCCTCACTGAACTCACTCCTTGGGACCATTGCATCGGAAACGATTGAGTCCAGGCTCAAGCTTGCAATAAAGACTCTTGTGTGATTGCATTGGATTCAGCTCCTGGAGGTCTACTGGGGTCCCAGGAACCTGGCATTACAAGTCTAATAGGTTGTTAATATCCAAAACAAAAAGGGAAGAAGGAATAAGCTGATGCAAATGCAAGTTCCATTCTTCTTGAGCTGGTTCTTAGATGCTGCTGTGATCACCTGAGGACACTGGCCCAAGCTTCTTGGACTGAGCAGTTACTGTTTTCTCCAGCTCTCCAGTCTGTAGACAACCATTGTGGGACTATCCAGCATCTGATCCTGTAAGCCAATTTGAGAAATCTATTTTTTATAATCATTTAAATTCTGTTAGTTCTTGTAGATAACCCTGACAATACAGTAATTAAGACTGTGTGGAATTGGCATAAGGCTAGAAAAGAGGAATGATAAAACTCTGACATTTATGATTAGTTGATGAACTACAAAGACAAAGGTGCCAAGGTGATTCAAAGGAGAAAAGTATCTTTTTTTTTTTTTTTTTTTTGGTACCAGGGTTTGAATCCAGGGGTGCTTACCCACTGAGCCACATCTCCAGCCCTTTTTTAAAAATATTTTTCATTGCTGAGGCTGGCTTTGAACTCGTGATCCTCCTGCCTCAGCCTCCCCAGCAGCTGTGATTACAGGCATGGGCCACCCCACTGGGGAAAGTGTCTTTTTAACAAAGGGTACTGGGACAACTGGACACCCACATGCTAAAGGATGAATTTAGACCCTCTACCCCACAAAATACACAAAACTTAAAATGGATCAAAAGATATAATGGCTAAAACTATAAAAATTTAGAAGAACATATAGGGGGAAATATCTTGACATTGGATTAGGTTACTTAGATATAACACATAAGTCATACATGAGAAAATAAAAATTGAATAAATTGAACTTCATCAAAGTTAAACCCTTTTGTCTTTCAGAGAATACTGTCAAGAAAGTGAAAGAAGGGGAAGTGGAGAGGTAATGGAGGCAGGAGTGAAGTCTCGCGATAAGAAGCAGTTGCCATAGTGGAGCCTTCAGACGTGCGTGCATGCGTGCGTGCGTGCGTCCATCTGTGTCTGAGGAGCCGCCATCAACGGTTCGCTGAGCGGTTTCTGCCCCTGGTAGAAATTAGCACCGCCGTTATGTCCCGCTACCAGCGCCCCCCCAACACTTCTCTTTTCGTGAGAAATGTGGCTGACTACACTAGATCTGAAGATTTATGGCGTGAATTTGGTCGTTATGGCCCTATAGTCGATGTGTATGTTCCACTTGACTTTTATACTCGACGGCCAAGGGGATTTGCTTATGTTCAATTTGAGTTTGTCCGCGATGCTGAAGATGCTTTACAAAATTTGGACAGAAAATGGATTTGTGGTCGTCAAGTCGAAATACAGTTTGCGCAGGGGGATCGAAAAACACCAAATCAAATGAAAGCCAAGGAAGGGAGGAATGTGTACCGTTCTTCACGCTATGATGATTATGACAGATACAGACGTTCTAGAAGCCGAAGTTATGAAAGGAGGCTATCAAGAAGTCGGTCTTTTGATTACAACTATAGAAGATCTTATAGCCCTAGAAACAGTAGACCTATTCGAAGACGACGGCGTAGCAGAAGCCATTCCGACAGCGATAGATTCAAACACCGAAATCGATCTTCTTCAACATCTACATCCAAGATCACGGTCCAAGTCCAAGCCCAAGAGAGAAACGAAGGCTAAATCACGTTCCAGGTCTGCATCTCGCACCAAAACTAGAGGCACCTCTAAAACTTATTCCAAAACAAAGTCTGGCACAAGATATGAAAAGGAATCAAGGAAGAAAGAAAGACTTAGATCCAAATCTCAGTCAAGATCACAGTCTAGATCTAGGTCAAAATCTAAATCAAGGTCTTAGACTATTCCTAAGTCCATTGGCCACTGATGGTATAAACCATGATAAATTTTAGGCATGTATCATTTATTTACTCATAGTTTGGTATACTTAAAACATTGGGAACATAATGTTGCAATGATGCATAAAAATATGTGTTAGTTTTCCCTGTACCTGGCAATGGTTATAATTAAAATGATATGCTGTTGAGAAGCCACTCTTAAGAGTCCAGTTTGTTTAATGTTATGGGCAGCTACCAAATTTGTGTTGTTGATATTTTTTGTAAAGATTCTCAAATTTTATGCTTGAAATTTTGGTGAAAAGATGTTGGTTGACCATAGTTTGCAGCATTGTTTTATTAAGAATAAACTTTCAATATCCATATTTGGTTAAACACAACATAGAAATATAGCTTGTTAATAAGATGGAATGATACAAAAGTGAAGTTGTAGCCACAGTGCAACACTGACTGCTCAGATACATTTAGGTCCATGGTGGACCTTTTTGTCTTATCAAAATGTCTATGCCTATGATAATAGTTTACTTATGATACAGTGTGTAATAATACTTTTGTTAACCCCACTGTCTTGGGGAATGATGCCCACTTGGTTAAGTAGTATTTTCAGGGTAATAATTTTTGAATGAAACATGAAGCTTTCACTGCTTTTTTTTCTGGTTTCTATGAAAGTTTGGAATATAATAATATCAGAAAAGCTCCCCTTAAAATTTGAGAAGGTCAATGATTACAAATATTTTTTAGGGGGAAAAGAATGTTCTTAATGTAGTTATTCTAAAATTTAAGGAGCACTGTTGCTTGGATTTCTTATTTCTGTTAGGAGCAAGTAAATTGTTTCAAAGTAGGGGTGTTTGTGGGTATGTGTGTGCGTGTGCACGCATATTGTAAAAGAACTGAATTTTGATGCTTACAGCACTCAGTGCGTACATTTTTATCACAATTTCCCTACCTCTTTATGAGGGAGATTTTCTCTTCACATGTCAGTTTATTTAACATGAGGCAAGTTGAAAGACAACACTCCCATTCTAAGTGAATGATTCTGTGGTGCCATGGAATTTTAAATAATTTGGGGAAAATGGTTAGTTTTAAGCAAGAGCCACCTCATGAGTTTTTGTTTATCAATGTCATACCTGACTAAAAGTGGGGAAGTAATACAGTTAACTATAATTTCTAGTATTTCTCTGAATGGTCATTTGGAGGCAATAAAAAGTGACTTGAAAAGTCCAGTCTCATTTCAGAGTAAAAAGCTAGCATCTTTTGAAACCTAAGATTACATATATATGTGCTTACTTGCAGATATAAGTAAAAAGTATTGTGGGGAAACGATTCCTTTTTTCAATTTTGATTTTAGAAATCTAGGTATAGCCTGTAAAGAACAAAAAGATGGTTTTTAAATACCATTTGTGTGTTTAAAAGATTGATTCTACAACCTTTGTATATTTGATACTATTTCTTTCATTTCTTTACTATTTGAAGTTAATATAAAGTTCATGTTCTGCTATGCAATCATTTATATGCACATTTCTTTATTTTTTTTTAGATTTTCCTGAATGTATATTTTAAACAATAAAAAGTCTATTTAAAACTGTAGCAGTATTTGTAGTTCTAGCAAAGAGAAACGTTGTGGGGTTAAACTCTGTATTTTCTTTCTTATAGAAGTTTCTGAAAAGATATTTTTATATGTTCTTTTAACAATTATTGTATACAACCTTTGAAAACATCAAAATTTGCATCAAAACAAGACACAGGTTATTTTATGCTTGTTGTAAATTCAGCAAATGTGCTATAATAAAAACAAAAGGAAGGAAAAAAAGTGAAAAGAAAATGGGAGAAAATAATTGCAAATCAAAAAGCTGGCATAGATATGCTTTATATCTAGAATAAAGTCATTTTTTCAACAATAAAAGGACATATGAGTGAAATTTTTATTTTTAAAAATATTTTTAGTTGTTTATGAACCTTTATTTTATTTATTTGTACGTGGTGCTGAGAATCTAACCAAGTGCCTCACACATGCTAGGCAAGTGCGCGATCACTGAGCCACAACCCCCAGCTCCATGAGTGAAATTTTTAAATGGGCAAATAATTTACCCAAAGAAGATTCATAAAAGGTCAGTAAGTGCATGAAAAGTGTTCAACATTGTTTGAAAAGTTAGTTTGTAAATTAGTAACAAAATGTCTTCCAATATATAGCAACCCAAAACCAAATTTCATCACTGCTTAATTCAACAAAGTTTTTAAGAAGACAATAAATCAAAACTACAATTTTGAGGTAGGGTATAAAACAAAAGGAGACAAACAGAAGGAAAACAGAAATTTAAATTTAATCTGAAAGCATTGTGTTAGGTTTCTCATAACTTCACTCCCCAAGCCAGTTCTTTCTTCTAGTCCTGTAGCTTTCAAATTTCTGGGAAATTTTACAATCTTTGCTCATAATCTTTTATTTTTTTTTTTTAAATCAGTGCTAGGGATTGAACCCCGGGCCTTGTACATGCTAGGCACATTCTCAACCACTGAGCTATATCCCTAGCTAAATTCACCCACTTATGAAAATTTCCTGTGTGGTTAATTAGCCCACTAATACATGAATAGTTAGAATATATTGAACAAAGGGAGATTTAAAAATCCCTATAATTTAGTATATTTTCCCAGAAACCTATCATAAAGGGTATTTTCTCAATATTATCAGTTAATGAAGAAGATGTTACCATAAGGATCCAGAGAATTGCCAGGCCACCATAACCATCTTGGGATCACTGGACTGATAGCATCCCCACATACCTTTGTATACCCACCCCTTTATTAAGTCTCCTTTAAAAGAGTCTGAGCTGGGTGTAGTGGATCACACCTATAATCCGAGGAACTTGGGAGGTGAAGGCAGAAGAATTGCAAGCTCCAAGCCAGTCTCAGCAACTTAACAAGACCTTATCTAAAAAAAAAAAATTAAAAGGTCTGGGGATGTAGCTTAGTGGTAAAGCACCCCTGGGCTCAATCCCCAGTACCCAAAACAATAACGATAATAAATTAAGGAAGAGCCTGAGAAACCTGGAAGCATCTCTTACTCTAGAGATGGCCCACATTCTCCCTTGAATTCCTTGTTTTCTTAAATAAATCCTCACACCTCAATAGCTAATGTGTACTGAAATTCTTTTTTTAATTTTTATTATTAGTTGTTCAAAACATTACATAGTTCTTGACATATCATATTTCATACATTTGATTCAAGTGGGTTATGAACTCCCATTTTTACCCCATATACAGATTGCAGAATCACATCGGTTACACATCCACTTTTTTACATACTGCCATACTAGTGTCTGTTGTGTTCTGTTGCCTTCCCTACCATCATGTATATTAAGGACCCTGGTTTCCTTAGTCAGTGGTCCCCCTCTACGGGACCTCCTTGGCCAATTTCTGGTAATGTCACAACTTCACACCCAAAGGAATGGCTATAATATAAAGAAATGGAAAATCAAAAGTAATGTTGAGAAGGTGGAGAAATTGAAACTCTCATACATTGGCAATATAAAATATTACAGATACTTTGGAAAACAGCTTGATGGTTCTTCAAAAAGTGAGCTATGAACCAGCAATTCTACTCATAGTCATAAAGAGGATTGAAAGTATATGTCTACACAAAAAAAACTTGTACAAGAATGCTCATGATAAGACTATTCATAATATTCTCAAGTTGGAGAGAACACAAATGCTTATTAGCTGATTAATGAATAAATAAACTGTGATATATTCATGTAATGGAATATTTTATTAGTAATAAAAATGAAGTATTGATACATGCTATAGCATATATGGACCTTGAAAACGTTATCCTAAGTGACAGGATTCAAATAGAAAGAATTCAGACATATTAAAGTATTCTATTTTTATGAAAAGTTCAAGATAGACAAATCTGGAGAGACAGAAAATAAATTACTGGCTGTCAGAGGCTGAGAGAAGGAAATGGGGAATGGGATTTAATGCTTAATGGGTATGGGGTTTTTTATTGAGGTGATAAAATGTGCTGAAATTAGAGAGTGGTGTTGGTTCCACAAATATGCTCATATACTAAAAACCACTAAATTATTTACTTAAAAATAAATTAACAGCTGGGCAGGATGGTGCATGCCTGAAATCCTAGCAAATCAGGAGGCTGAAGCAGGATGATCACAAGTTAGAGGCCAGCCTCAGTAATTTAATGAGGTTCTAAGCAACTTAGCACTGTCTCCAAATTTAAAAAAATAAAAATTAAAATGGCTGAGGATGTAGCTTAGTGGTAGAGCACTCCTGTGTTCAATCCTCAGTACCTAAAATTAAATTAAATTTAAAAAGAAAATAAATTGGGTGTGGTAGAGCACTCCTATAATCCCAGTAGCTCAGGAGGCTGAGGAAGGAGGGTTGCAAGTTCAATATCAGCCTCAATACCTAATCAATTTAGTGAGAACTGTCTCAAAATTAAATAAATAAATAGATATACAGATAGATAATCCTGGGGATGTGGCTTAGTGGTTAAGCATCCCTGGGTTCAATCCCTAGTACCAAAATAAATAAATAAATAATAAGACAACCCCAGCATGCATACCTTACTGGAATGCCAATTAGAAGATTTATGTGAAAAAATTCGTCATATTTATGCAAAAGTTGGAAATTTGAACAATGACTATAAATTTGATTATATTAAAAAATTATTTTATTTTCTATGGGTTATGTTTGCACCATTGTAATGCTTTTAATTATTCATATTTTCCTTTTTATGCTTTTCTTTAGTTGTAGATGGATGCAATACCTTTATTTTGTTTATTTATCTTTTTTATGTGGTGCTGAGGATCAAACCTA